CCTTGTGGGGGAGTAGGTGATGGCACACCCCTGGTGGGGAGTAGTGGAAAGCACATCCCTGATGGGGAGTAGGGGAAGGCACACCCCTGGTGGGGAGTAGGTGTTGGCACACCCCTTAGGGGGGGGGGGGAGTAGGTGATGGCACACCCCTGGTTGGGAGTAGGGGAAGGCACACCCCTGGTGGGGAGTAGGTGATGGCACACCCCTGGGGGGGAGTAGGTGATGGCACACCCCTGGTTGGGAGTAGGTGATGGCACACCCCTGGTTGGGAGTAGGTGATGGCACACCCCTGGTGGGGAGTAGGTGATAGCACACCCCTAGGGGGGGGGGGAGCAGGTGATGGCACACCCCTGGGGGGAATAGGTGATGGCACACCCCTGGTAGGGAGTAGGGGACGCCACCCCCCAAAAGGGCAGTTAGTGAAAAGTGTGGGTACAGATTCATTTATAAAGCTACAATATTAACCCTTTATCTACTGACGGTACTTATAAGTACCACTTTAATTAAGTGCCTGTATTATTTTTAATTTAATACGAATTTTAAAAATTATTGAGGTAATTAATAGTATTATCTCCCCTGAGTCGCCGGTAGTCGGAGGTATCAATGTTTTTTTTTAAATTAATGGTGTGGCGCCATTTTCAATGTCTTGCTATATCGGTAGTTCACAATTGTTCTGTACAGTTCTCACACACGTTCCTGAATTCCCTTTGTTTTACCTTATTTTTCAAGTTTTCAACCCCAAATATTTTTTATTGGCACCTTCAATAGTCAGGCAAACGCGTTTAACTTCTAGTTATACAATTTTAATCAAATTGTCTTTGTATTAGATCGATGTTTACAAGTGGACTTATAAGTACCGTCAGGGCACACGGTCATTTTTTTTAGGATTTTTAGAAAATGGCAGATTTGTTAGGTGGAGTTACATAAATATTGTCTTGATAATAAATTATCGAAATGTACTCAAAAAATGATATTTACACATTTATAAGAAGGTTTGCATAAGGTTTACCTAAGAAATAGTGTAATTACATGTTAATTTCTATTAGTAAAAAATAACAAGAATAAAGGTATCAGTTGCAGGCTCGTTTACAAGGTTTAGTTTACTGCATTTGTATACCAAAGCCTAGTTCTAGTAGTTAGATTTAATGTGTTAGTTATATTTACTGCAATAAACTGTCTTGCCAACAATAACTAGCATTTACGTAATGTATACCTGTAGACTAGTAATAGTCCATACTTCTGCCTATAGTATAGATATATAAGGTAAATTTTAATCAGTAAACAGAAAAGAGTTATCCACTACGGCTATCCTAAACACATTGAGCTCACTTCTATTTATGAACTTTGCACTGTAGTGTAGACTTGTCATAACATTCTAGTAGGCTACAATTATACTAGTATTACAAGTAGTTGTGTGCTGAATGACTAGGCTTTTGTTTGTTTATGCGGCTCATTGTACTAGTTATTGGAAGCTTCCAGCATAAGCATATTCATTCCGGCAACCGTTGCTACACTAGAAAGACCACAGACAAGATTGAGGGAGCATGACATGTCGACTACTTTTGCTGTGTATGAGGTCTAAGATGTGTTCCCATAGAAAATCCAGTAAAACTCGTACTCAAAATATACTTTTGTGCTGTATTTATGTGTGAAAATTACAAAATGTGATTGTTATGATGATTGCCATGTTATTAGTTAATAAATTGTATCGTTTGTTCCTGTTTTGTAAAAAAAATTTTTTTGAAAAAAAATGTCCTAGATTACTGACGGTACTTATAAGTACCAATATCCGTTTGAGCCATTAAAAATTTATGAAACAAAATTTCCTTCGACATATGGTTTGAATGTGCCAAAAGCAATATAGTAACACATTGTTTAAGTAAAAATCTCATTCAGAACATAATTTCGTAAATAAAGGGTTAAGACAAGCCAAAGTGAATTTGTAAAATAAAAAATAAAATATTCCCGCCTTTGACCCCCTATTTTACCCCTGACCCTAAAACCCGACCTCACGTCTGCAAGTCTTATCTGGCATCTGGCTTTTGGTCGCTAGATCTCAGAGTTGGTAGTGGATGGTGGTGGACACAAGTGGGATGAAATGGTTTTTCTACTGTTTATATGCCACGTGCTGGAATGATACACATGCTAAAAGCGCTCGGGCTTATTCGGGGCCTCCAGACTAAAGGTATCTACGGCCCCAGACTAAAGGTATCTACGGCCCCAGACTAAAGGTATCTAGGGCTCCCCGACTTAAAAGTATCTAGGGCCCTCAGTCTAAAGGTATCTAGGGCCCCCAGACTAAAGGTATCTAGGGCCCTCAGACTAAAGGTATCTAGGGCCCTCAGACTAAAGGTATCTACGGCCCCAGACTAAAGGTATCTAGGGCCCCCCGACTAAAAGGTATCTAGGGCCCCCAGACTAAAACTTATCCAAGGTCCCAGACTAAAACTTATCCAAGGTCCCTGACTAAAGCTTATACAAGGTCCCAGACTAAAACTTATCCAAGGTCCCAGACTAAAACTTATCCAAGGTCCCTGACTAAAACTTATCCAAGGTCCCAGACTAAAACTTATCCAAGGTTCCAGACTAAAACTTATCCAAGGTCCCAGACTAAAACTTATCCAAGGTCCCAGACTAAAACTTATCCAAGGTCCCTGACTAAAACTTATCCAAGGTCCCAGACTAAAACTTATCCAAGGTCCCAGACTAAAACTTATCCAAGATCCCAGACTAAAACTTATCCAAGGTCCCAGACTAAAACTTATCCAAGGTCCCAGACTAAAACTTATCCAAGGTCCCTGACTAAAACTTATACAAGGTCCCAGACTAAAACTTATCCAAGGTCCCTGACTAAAACTTATACAAGGTCCCAGACTAAAACTTATCCAAGGTCCCTGACTAAAACTTATACAAGTCCCACAACGCAGACATAACCGAGTCCCCTGACTTAAACTATGAAACTTTTCATTGGCTGTACTCTTTATGACATGTACTGTTTCTGTGATTAATTATATAATAAATCAAGCTGGTTCTACAAAAATACAGGACTTTTGAAACAATGAATAATTAGAACCCAATAACCAAAGGATTCGCCTATTAATGTATCATAAGTTTAATAACAAACACGCAATAAAATTAAAAGTAATCAAATACCTTTTTTTAAAAAAAAATCAGTGCAGTAATACGATTTCTGTTCTCTTATAGTGGGCAGCGATAATTAAAAGCCAATAATCTAAACACATCCGAAGTTAGCCAGAAGAGTTTGCGAGTAACCGTCTTTATTTACATTTTAACCTTCTTTGTGGCGCAAAAAAAAACTACAAAAAAACAACGAAGTATTGATCTACGTTAGCATTCTGTGGTATATCCATGGGATTTTCTGCATCCACTCCATCTCCGCCCCTCCCCCGTGCATTCATTACGTCAGCGGTTGACTGCTTTATTTAAATGGCCAATAGGGACCCAGGGCTGTTGAGTTATTTCCCTTAAAGTGCACGACCAGCACTTTTAAAAAAAATTTAACGCTCGAGATTAACAATTGAATTACTTCCCTTCTAGCAACAAATCCAGTGACTTCCCTTGTTGAGAGCTTTTATACTGTCAAGGCTAGCCAACTGTATATAATGGAAAAATATATTTACTAATTGTGTTTTGTTGGCGCAGATAAGGGATGGTGTGAGTAAAACACAGGGGGTGGGGTAGTTTGTTACATAATGGTTTAAAAGCTTTGGGGAGGGGGTGAAGGGGTTAAGTACAGTGGCGTAGGCAAGTGGGGGTTAGGGGGGTTATAACCCCTCCCATGGACTCACACCCCTATATATATATATATATATATATATATAATATTATATATATATATATATATATATATATATATATATATATATATATATATATATATATATATATATATATATATATATATATATATATATATATATATATATATATATATGATTTTATACATTGGACAAATGTTTGAACCCCTCCCATGACCGATTCCTGGCTACACCACTGGTTAAGTAGCAGACGTAAGCTGGAACCCTATATACGGGGGTCGCGGGAAATTCTAACTGGCACCTCAGCGCCCCGGGACCCATTACATTTATTTCGGGTTCCCACCGGCCGATCTATCTCTCGCGAGTTAAAGACTTTCATCGTCTTGTGTCGTGAGCTCTCTATAAAAAGTGGGCCAAAGTAGAATTTAAGTGTCGGAGTTGAGCCTTCTGGGAAAACATTTTATCTTTCACTGAAGGAGAGGTTCGGGTGATAGATGGGATTTATCCATTTAATATTTTTTAAAAAGTAAACTTAAAACAAAGAAAACGAAAGTAAAAATGTGACGATAACATTTGAGAATAATGGACAAACATGGGCAATGACGGAAATGTATTTTTTTAATGGTGAAATTCGCGAGTCAACTAATTTTCTACCTGGGGATACGTTTTCATTTCGTTTCCTCATAAACGTCTTTCAAGAAGAAACAGGAACAAATATAGGAAGTGACGGAAGTGTTTTCCTAATGAAATTGGTGAATCGAGTAGTTTCTTGCCATTATGTTTTAATTAGTTTCCTCGTGAAAAAAAAAAATCAGGAGTTTCTACATTTAAAAAAAAAATGTATACTTGTAATACACAAAGAACTAAACTTTATCTAGATATCTAGATCCGTATGTATGGTTACAATTAGATAAAGGAAAAGTAAATTAGTTAATAATTTTTATATAAAGAATATTACATTTGATACTAAAATATAAATAGGCCTAGTATAAAAATACATACCGATCTATTAATATGGGATAAGGGGTTGGGCACTACAAGCCCATGGCGTATGAAACCCCAATCTAGAATGCCAGTATAATCCTGTACATTTTTAATAAGCTAGACCAATTAGCAATCAACCACCTTATATATCCAATAGGCTCTAAGCGACAACAAGATAAATAATTGACCCACACGTGCCATCCCCCCCCCCCCCCCCCAATGAAAACGTCAACAAACCTGTAATCGCCACTGACACGTGTGACGCTAATGGTATCGATCCTGCCGTACGAATCTCATCGTCTGCTAGACTCCACTGAGGAAAGGTAACATCCTGTTGTCCGTGGGATAAACAAACCCATGTCGTCGTCTGCACCACGTGTACATGGCTTTGATGAAAGTCTCTGAGCAGCGGTGCCGGAGCAGACGGTGCCGGAGCAGACGGTGATGGACGTGGATCTCTCTCGCGCACATCTCGCGAGGCCGCGCGGTATCTCCTCTCACAGCCACTGGTTCATGCAGCTTTCATCCCGTGCGGTGTAAACTACACTACAAACATGCTGTCATAAACATACTTGTATTAGCCTATATAGGCTGTACGTATAAAAAAACAGTCTATGTATAGGCCCAAATGTGTTTGTGTTTACTTGTATGTGTCACATATATTCGAGTGCTAAAATATCATATATATATATATATATATATATATATATATATATATATATATATATATATATATATATATATATATATATATACATATATGTATATGTGTGTGTGTGTGTGTGTGTATGTGTGTGTGTGTCTGTGTCTATGTTTGGATGTCTGTTATCTGCAAGGATAATTTACTTAGAATCGTGTCATGATATTTTTGTTTGAAACTAAAAACAGATGTTGTTGGGTTTGTTGGGTTCAACAATGAACAACTAAACGTAGCAACGTGGGGGGTGGGGTCAAGAACGAGATATAATTAGAGAGTGATCCCAACTTACAGTTTTTCTATGCAGCAGAAACGGTTTTCCCCTGTCAATATTGGCAGACAGATGTGACAGTTATTTTTTTTCACGGTGACGGCATTATCCCCTGTAGCCAATCATCGTCAACACATTCTCTAGGCCGCCATGACAGGTGACTGATGCGCTTGAATAAATCAACTCCCTTCCGTGATTCGACATTAGGGATGGGGGGGGGGGGAATGGGGAGAGGGGCGGGATCTGAATACTTCACAGAAATATGTATGTCATTTACGGAAGCTTGTTCTTAGGTATGTGTGTGTGTGTGTGTCTGTGTGTTTGTGTGTGTGTGTGTATGTGTGTGTGTGGGGGGGGGGTCGTCTTACTATCAGTCATAGCTCTGTTGTTTTCAATTTGACCTTTAAAGGAAAGTAACCACAACGACATTTTTATTTTTACTTTGTTTTGTTCGCGTCTTTTATTTCGTGTTTCAGATTTTAAGTAAGAAGACCGGAAAAAAATTGTAACGAATAAACAAAACATATTAACATGGAATGTAACCGGAGAAGAGGCTGTGATTGTAGAAAGGTTGAAAAATCCTGCAAGAAAGAAACACATAAAGAGCAGACGGCATTATGCCGGAAGTTTACATAAACACCGCAGTGTTGCCTAAACAGAAACCCTCGTTACGTAATAACACAGGCGTTTCGTTGGGGGTAGGGGGGGGGGGGCAGGGGAAGGGCGTCACGTGTTAACATTTTTACACCGACCGCTGAGAGAGCCACCTCTCCTGCCCCACTCCACACGACCGTGCCGAATTCCGACCCAAATTTTTTTTCTTCCGTTACCATGGCAACGAGAATAAAAAATTGAAGAGGAGAGAAGAAGAAAAAAACAACCCCAGAAACACCGAAGCACTGCAAGAGCGAGTGGGGTAAAAATCGATTTGGCCAGTCTAGAACACGCTCGTTATGGCATCATCGTTCGGACCAGTCTTGACGGTCTCCGCTTCTAGAACTTTCGTTTCCTGCCGACCATTTACGTCTGGACTGGTCACGTGCATGTTGATGTTGTCCAGGATTTTGTTGTTGTTGGGCCGACGTCATCGTTAGAAGTTTGACACATCGGGGTAGGGGTTAATGGGTCGTTAGATATATGTCACATTATGTGATTGGATTACTTTGTCTTTAGAAATATGTCACATTATGTGATTGGATTACTTTGTCTTTAGAAATATGTCACATTATGTGATTGGATTACTTTGTCTTTAGAAATATGTCACATTATGTGATTGGATTACTTTGTCTTTAGAAATATGTCACATCATGTGATTGGATTACTTTGTCTTCAGAAATATGTCGCATTATGTGATTGCTAGTGATAAGATTACTGGGGCTTAGAAATGTATCACAATTATGTCATTGGATTACTGGTCGTTAGATATTTGTCACACTTATATAGACCCGACCTGAGAATGATAAACGACATTGCTTTTTTTGTTTGCCGTAGAGACCTCAGGGGACACCCCTAATACCCCCCCCCCCCGCCATTGTATCAGTGTTTCTTCCAGACTTTTTTCTCGGGGGGGGGGGGGGAGGGGGTGGTGGGGGCACTTAAAATTTTCGGGGATGGGGGCGGACTAAAATTTCCCGGGGGGGGGGGGCGGACACTGTTCAAAGTATATATTTTCTACATAAATTCCATTTCTTTTATGGGGGCGGGGGCGGTAGACGTTCTTCCAAAGAGATGCCTAGAAGAAACACTGCATTGTACCCATGTAAAATTGTTTGAGATTCCCCGTCTGGCTACTGTTATTGTGGATTGTTGCGTTAGCTGCCATCATTTTTTTTTGCCGCGTGCGTCAGGTGTATATTATGACATCTTCGTCTCCGACTTGTCAGCATCGCTAACACTGACATAACCGTTAACAAATGCTCACACTTTTTATCATATTGTTCGCGTTTAGATGTTAAGATATATTTTATCACCTTGTGTTAATATAATTTTTTTACCTTGTGCTGAGATATCTTGTTACCTTATGTGGATAGGATCAGGGACGTATGCAGGTTTTGGGGTTAGGGGGAACGTCTACGTCTACGTCTACGTCTACGCCCGCCCCCCCCCCTCCCCTGAACGAAATAGAATTTATATAGAAATTATATAGTTTATATAGAAAAATATATACTTTTACCAGTATCAGCCCCCACCCCCTCCCCCGAAGAATTTAATCCACCCCGCGAACATTTCAAAAGGCATCCCTCCCTACTCCGGAGAATAAAGTCTGAAAGAAACAGTCTGCATGATTGAGGTTTAGCGGCCAAAAGTAGGAAACGTGTCTATATTATATATATTGGGTCTACCTATAGTCCGTGCGACGGTGTTTCTTTCAGACTTTTGCGTCCACGGGGAGGGGGGGGGGCACTGAAATTTTCGTGGGGGGGGGGGAGTGCGGACTAAATTTTCCTAAGAGGGGGGCTGGTAGAAGTTCTTCGGGAGGGGGGGGGGCTCCGTGTAGATCAAGGTTACCAAATGTGGAAATGTCTACATTTAGCGTCTATACACAAAATAGAATGGTGCCATTGATTGCTGGATAAAAACTAGACTTAAGAATCGAATGCCGAAAACATACAATGATAATGACGTCAGTAAGCCTACATATTTATTTGTAATTTTCAAATTTAATCAGATCACTTATTTCTTTATTATTTAATACAATAGCTTATTAAAATTTGTTTTTACCAAAAACTTTGTCAACAATAAGAATTAAATATATTATATTCAAAGCGTAAAGAAAGTTCGTAAAAGCGTAGTTTAAATAAAAACGCGCTTTTCAGCAGTTTGTATAATATAATAAGCAACACATTTTAAATAGCAGTTTAATTTTCTCAACTAAACTGCTGATCTTGCACCCTAAATCATTAAATGTTTGAATACGCTACTATTAAAAAACAAAATATTGTTTTAAACAATAAAATAGCGGCGTATGCTACTTCGCGGGTCGGCTCGTTTTTCAAATCTACAATTTGAGCACTAATCATGATATTAAAGCTATGTAAAACCATTTGTTTGAATTAAAACCATTTGTTTGAAGTTACACAAAAGTACTTCTAAACAAAACAAAAACTTCAATTTTTCAAATACTCGGATCAATAGAAACCTTATAGCTGGATTATTGATCGAACCAAATAGGCTACGTATGTAGCTATATTAATCGCATTGATCTGTTTGCCACCTCAATTTGTTTAGCGTTTTTTTTATGTTATAATACCACGTTTTTACGTTATAAAACAGAGTATTTTATATTGATAATCCGCACGTGCTGACGCAGATATTATGAATATATCTGAGATATCTGGAAAATATTTCTCACTCAGTAAAACAAGTATTCCGAAGGTAGAATAATATTTAAAGGTTTACTTGCAGTAACACTGATGCTAATTTTAAACATTATTAAATCTTACAATGAAGGAACTTTTTGATTTTAGAGGCTGAAAGTTGCCTTGGCTTTAATTGTAATCAGTCCGGTAGATGTAAGCTATACCTGCAACATTGAGAGGTCGTCTGTTGGATAGGATTGATCGTATTCTTGTGTGATTGTATCCTTAAACGACCTCTCGTTTTTTTAGAACAATTTTTTCGTCGTCTTACATTGTTACAAAAAGCAAGAACCCACCCCCCCCCCCCCACTAAAAAAACCGTCGAAGTTGCAATCTTTATTTTTAAAAACAAAGGTTTGTTGCTAAAATATTTATTGAGCTCCGTTATAATGAATATTTTGATTACTTTGTATTGCATTTTACGACAAAAAAAATGGCAGCTAAAATTCAATTTCTAACTTTACTTTTTGAAATGCCATTTCTAAACCTACTCCCCCTCCCCCACGCCATATATCACCACACGTCCAACCCCCCCCCCCCCCTCCCCCACAATTCCCTCTAGGAGTGTGACATCTTATGGACTCAAGTTTAAGAATTAAAAAAAAATTGCTTGTGGCATCAACTTTCTAAAAATCTGAACATCATTGTGATGCAAAATCGTATTCCTCTTTATTGCTGTATTCAACCAAGACCCTTTTAAACTAAACCTTGGTTGCACTAATGAAGGTAACCCATACACGGCTCTCGTGCTTAAGATAATTAACGCTGGTCTTAAGGGTACATCAATTATGAAAAGAGTTGCGTAATCTTCGACCCCCCACGATCAAAAATGGATTAACTGTGCGTTATTTCCGCCTGTGGTCTACAAATACAATAAAAAAGGCCAATCGATGACGTGTGAGCTACCCAGCCCGGCAACCTGCACATGCACTTTTACTCAACACCTTGATTTCTTATTCAAACATTGACAGGGTGAGTTCGATGAAATTTTTTTAAAAACTATGATCGCTACTCTAACTCTAGTCCTAGCCATAATCCTAAATCTAACGTGCAACTTA